AAAGGTAAGAGCTTGTTTTACCTACCTATTAACCACTGAGCAGGATATATGTAAGAAGACTGGGAAAAGCTGACAATATGATTAGGATATGTTCTCCTTGCCCCTAGCTGATTGAGACAAATATAATCTCCAGGCTCTATGATCAGCATTTGTAGTTGTTTAATTTTGTGCTAGTTGTGACCTTTGTGGTAACCAATAAATAATTCCTCAAGGAGAGAGCATTAAAAAGGTGTTGTGTGTGGTATTTCCTTTCTCTGGCTGAAACTGCCCAACAACTTAGAGTGAGATTAATAGTAATGTTTTTGTACCTCACTTTGGAGAATCATGACAGCATGATTGAAATGGTGGTGCTCCAAGGTAGCAGAGGTGCCATAGAGCTGAGCTAAAGCTGATCCGCTCCTGAAACAGAACATGGGGAGTCAACAAATACTGCTCAACTGCTTACAAAGCATGTTTCAGAGACAATTTAGTAACGAAGGCATGTAGCCATACTCTCCTTGTCCATTACAGCAACCACACTTAAGACGGTTGACAAGACCAAAATACTAACTTAAAATTAGCTACATGGCATTTATGTTCCAGACTTTGCTAAATATCATCAGCTGACTAAATATTTGCCTGGAAGTACATGAAATTCTGTAATGCAACTTTCAAAGTGCCTCAGCGATGCAACAGCACAAGCACACCACTGTGCAGTAAAGACAGACTATAACACCCTTGAGCCAGGACTGGCTGTCCTGCTACTACTTTTTTTATTTTGAATTCTTAATAGATATAGACATAATAGCTTACAGTTTTTTTGAAAAAAATCCCCAAACATAACAAAAAAACAACTGCAAATACAGTGAGGTTCTATTTGTATGTAAAACTATGCACTTAAAAAAATATTAATGTTAACGAAAAACCACAAGTGAGAGCAGTGAATATAAAAGTTTAGCATCTCTTTAGAATGTATTTTCTCATCATCTTTATTGTCTAAAACAAAAACTAGCTTCAAAATGCAAAGAGCCAGGTGGATTTTCTAAGTTTAAAGAATAAAAATCTACAGAACACAATTATAAAAGTACAAATCATTAGGAGGTACAGAGAACAGGACTGGATTGTCAAAATAGTTACTGTTGACCGTTACTTCACTTCTGGGACATAGCTGAAAGTGACAAGATGGGTTTTCTTTCCAAAGAAATGAGAATACGAGATTATACTAGAGACAAAGAGAAAGAGTCTCCTAGGAGCATACACTATGAAACTGCACCGTACTGATATTTAATTATCAGAAGCAGCTATATTAGAGAGAAGGATGTCCAGGAAACATCATCCCTAGAGAACGTGGTGTTGAGATATATAACAGAGCCATTTCAGACAACTGTGATATTGCCTCCATCATATACCTCTTGAACCTTCATCACACCGAACAGCAGTATTCAACACTGAAGATAAAGTAGGAAAATGTGATGCTTAAATTTATGTCAGCTTAGAGGGATAAATCATAGCTGCTGTTATGAAAACTGCAGCTTCTGTTTTCAGGGATATTTTATGCATGTGTGGTGGTAATGTTTGTCTTTTGTTGAATGTCTTCAGCTATTTCTTTATGGAGTCATAAAAAGGTAGCCTCCTCTTTGTACTCTGTTGTCAAACAACAAGTATAAGTGATAGCAGTCTAATGCTGAAACCTCTACCTTTAACTCTGTCATACCTCCACACAAGAGATGCTGTTGTGTACTCTTACAGTGTAGAAGTGGTTAACTTCATCAGAGCCTAAAGCGGTCAAGATGTAAATCTTAGGTCTTGTTTTTGTAAATTAAGAACATAAACATCAATCAGCTGAGTTTCCTTCCCTTTTGTCTTGTCTTTTTTGATTCTCTTTAAGACAAAAAAGACATCTAGCAGTGCTTGGTAACCTTTGCACCATGAGCTCTGTCTTTTGAGCACCGCAATTGATTTTCTTTGCTATGGTGACTGAAGATCCAGACAGTGTCACTGTTTCATTGAGACTGTACAGCAACACCAATAGCTCAGGAAATAGCAGCTTAGCGAATATCAGAAGCATCAATTTGAGTGATGTTCACTGAGGCAACTTGCCCCCAGAAATGCAGCAGCCCATGCATATGCACGTGGCAGCACAGTATTTTCACAAAAGGTAGGACAAAATAGGCTAACACAACATTGCCCCGTCTTTCAAGTATCTTTGGACAACCATTTGACCACTTCCCTCGTCACACTGGAGGATTAGCAGTAATGCAGAACTGCGTTAGCTGCAAATGCATGCTGGGATTTGCAGGATAAGAGTGCCTCAAGGTCTCCTATTCTGACTGAGGAGGACCCTGGGGAGTCAAGTAGACAGCATGGGATTTGGAGGACTCTGTGTCCAACAGCTTAATTTCACAGCTTGGCATTTCCTGTTGTCCCCTCCTCAGGCAACATGGATATTTGAAAGAATTTGACCTTGGTCAAAGGAGTTCCTTTACCACCATAGTAAGAAATACCCTCAAACCGTCTACAAACCTGCTTCTACCTCACTGTGCCAGAGGGCAGCAGCCCGGACAGTAAAAGCATATGCAAGTCAGAGCTGCTTAACCAGGTCCTAAGCATTTTGAATAGGATAAAATTCATTTTTAGAATGGGAAATTCATCTGGAGAGCAAGATCTCACATGTGGGATGTAAGAATCTGCCTTCTAGATCTATCTTTGTGTTTTGGTTGGTACTGACCATTGGAGGAGATGGCCAACCCACCCCTCCTCACCACAGGGTGTCTCCAAACAGGCTCTCTGTGCTCTGGTGTGTGGGACAGGCCAGGGAGGAGGCATTTCTGCAGAACAGGGACCTTGTGTGCTCCAGAGCTGACAGGTATGTGGTGAGGCAACTCCAGTCACTTGCTGCAGAGGATATATGCTCCAGCATGATGGCAATGGTTTCATACTTCATAAGCTAGGAGTTACTTTATGTGTGCTTGCCTACACTAGTGTGAAAGTTTTTTTGTGAAAGCATTATTTAAGTTTTACCTATTTTATTTTCTTCTGAATAGCTCAACAAGTTTTTTCTTAACGTCATACATTCCAGCCAGCAAGAACAATCCAGACAGACCGTTTCAGTGTTTTCTGGATTAAAAACTAGAATCAATAATACCTGAGCCTGTCAAGAACATCAAGTTTTGGCACCATGTTTAAATATGTGGTGTCAGTTCAACAGCCTGATACAAAGGACAAGCCAGCAATTACACAAAAGAGCAGAGAATGATAAAGATGGATAGTCCTCACTACACAGGGAAGAATAAGAATACTTGGCCTTGGCCTAGGAGGACTGAAATTAATGCTTCATTCTTTATCCTGGTCACCTTTTGCTCTTTTGTGGAAGAAAAACAAATTAAAGTAATAAGAATTAGAAAACTTACTTAGCTTGGAAGGCATTGTTGGTTCCCCTGTGGTCAAGGTCATGACACAGGCATCCCACAATCAAAGCTAAAATTTCAATTTCACTTAGAATCTCCTGAAATCCAGCAGTCTGAGAGCAGAAAAAAATAGCAGCTGTAACTATCAGTAGCAAAAGGGATAAATAATGTTAGTCCATCGAGCAACAGTCAACTTTGTTTTGATACCACGAACGTTTCAGTAAGGAGAAGATAAATGCGTTATTATCATATTATATTCCTTGTTGCATGTTAGATGGTTAGCAGAACAGATAATGTCCTTGGAGTGATCTGTTCTTATCTCTCTGTTGCATTTCCAGCATGCTATTTCTTCACTAACCAGATGGCATGAAAGGCAAAAAGAACTGAACACACCAATAACTACACACTAAGAAAGGAACTGGAATTTTCTATCAGAGAAATAAAAAAAAAAATTGATTCAATTTTGAAATTATTGTGCAGAGAATTATTTAAACAGATCCAATCCTGAACTTAGATCCAATCTTAGTCAATCCCTACTGTCAGAGATAGCTGAGATGTTAAATCAAAAGACCTACAAAAGAAGCGAGCTAAAATAAACTCTTTGGAACTGTTATGAACTATTAAGAGATTTGTTATCTGGGACACACGAAATGAAGCAGTATGATTTAAAGAGCAAATGACTCAAATAACATCTTTCTGCTGCAGACATCCATTTTGAAAACTGATGAAGTGGAATTCCCCATGCAGAGCTCAGACTAGGTACCTCTGTGTGAATTGGGGAGCTGATCCTAGAAACATTTTGACAAAATCAGCTTGCACCCGTTGCCCCTTGTCCTGTCATTAGACATCCCCAAGAAGAGTCTGACTCTGTCCTCCTGACACTCACCCTTAAATATTCATTAATATTTATTATTTAATTATTT